TTAAATATGGCTATTGGGGGGGGGGTAGTTTTTTGTTTCCCGAAAGAAAAAGGGGGGGGGGGTTAAATTTTGAAATTGCAAATGATTCTTACATATTAAAGATTCTTACATAGCAAGATTGCGCCATTGTGTGCAATTTTTGCATAGGGAAGACTGAAATCTAGTTCTTAGCATTCAACTCTTTATAGTTAAAAGTTTAGTTCAATGGTTCCTAGTGACTCCGCTGAACGGAATGATTGCAGTCAGTGGTTTACACCTGAAAAAAAACATGGCGGAAAAAGTTTCGAAACAGGTATTTTTCTCTACATTTTAATATAATAATAAATTAATATTATTGCACTTTTACTTTTACATGTTCATATCATTCATTAATGATATTTTTGTATAACTTTTTCCTGTTTTGTATTGTATTGTGTGCTAAAATACGCAATCTTGCTTTTATATTTAAAATGCAAATAATTTGATATTATATTTAATTAGCAATTTGAATTTTAAATTCGGTCGCGTTGTATATTTTATTGTGCATTTTATTATGTTATGCAAAATCAATAAATTGTTCATATCTTTGAACACTATAGCTGTTATTTACGTATCGGGAGAGAAAAATCGCAAAGGATATTGGAGAGTATAAACTAGATGAATTGGTCAACTTAATTCGTCTGGATTTTGGAATTATTAACGGAGAGAACATTATATTTCAAAAGTTCGATGATTCTTGGAGTGCGTGGGTTGATGTAACTTCAGAACAAGAATTTCAAAACAGGGATAAGATCAAGGTTTTGGTTCAGGCTGGTTCTACATCAACTGGCAAAGCCAAAGGGAATACAGGTACAAGTGAGTATGTATATACAGGTATATTTTAAGACCTGACCAGGAATGACTGCAAAAAATGCAGCACTAAAATTAATAATTGATATTAAAATTCCAAGCAAGTATATATTTTTTCTATTCAGTTGTACACTTTTTAAGTATGAAATTTTTAATATTGATTAATTACAATTTGTTATTAATAAATATTTGTTTTCAGAAAATAGTTTGCCTGATACTCATTCCACAAATGAAACATGTACAGATGTTGATCTTGGTTACTTACCACATGGTGAAAAGCATCGTGATACATGTTTCTCTAACAACCTTTTACAAAGATTCTATCCACTTGTGAAAACATTTATGCCAAGCAAAACTTTTTTTCGGAAGAATTTTATTGAGGAAAGATGCAGGCAATGGAAAATTTACAAGAAGAAAGAAAAAATTGAAAAATCTTATCAGTTTTTAAAATCAGACAACATGGCAAGCATTGGAAATCGATTAGACAAAGGATACATCCCTACACCAAATGATGGAACTGTTTTATCTGCTGTTGCTATTAAACTAGATTCATTGCTAAAGGAAATAGTAACCCTTATTGATGAAATTAAAATGCATGACCAATCGTTATTTGAAACCAATGGTCTGTGTTTAAAGAGAAAATGGAAACAGTTTCATCACACATGTAATGAAGAATTTATCACATCACTCATGCAACTGAAAAGTGAAGTTAATGAATTGTTATCAAGAGTGCAAGAAACTTCAACAAAGTTTAGTACTGTTTGTAGAAAAAGGAGTTCACATGGAAAAAGTTGTGCTGCCAAGAAAAGAAAAAATAACAGGAAGAATGAAAAGAGAAAGTTTTTGAAAAGAACATAGAGCAACTTCTTTCCTACCTTCTTACAGAAGATGGGAAAGAAGTGGCAAAACAGGGTCTAGTTATTCTCGACTGTGACATAAAAGTGGACAGGGAGCAGCCCTTATCAATCACAGCTCCCAAATTAGGACAGCTGGTCCACTTGATAAACACGCACAATTTTTCACACGAGGCTAGATGTACAATTATCGATTTGGTTCCAGATAGTTTATCAAAACATTTGTTAAACAAGCTGGATGAATTGCATGATCAAATTATGCCAACCAGCACCAGCGACACAAGCAGTGATAGTAATAGTGGTCATGATACTGATACTGATTCACCCACATAATACTTATTCTTATTTGTATAAGATGTTCTTTGATCAGTAAATAGTATAACTAAAGCAAAATAATGCTACATGTATAGTACCGTAGATATTTGTATTTAATGGTTGCTATAGCAAACTAAATGTTATGTTATAAACCTGTTTCATTTTGGGAATAGTTCATTTATTATTTACACCATACATCTGAAAACAAAAACCTCTGCTCGTACCGAAGAATATAAGTTATGCAATACAAAATGGACAAATAAAGTCAAGTTTCGGATCATTTAAGTATTTTTCAGTTTCCTCTTCTGACATGTTTATGCAATCACCGTGAAACCATTCATCACATCTATCACAGCATACCATGAATAGTTCATTTTCTGGTTGTCTACACAGGCAAAATACCTTGACTTCTTCGTCACTTTGTGGTGTTCCCCATTCACAAATAACAATGTCCTCTTCCTCATTTGCTTCCTCTTCTTCTAACTCGCGTTCTTTATCTAATATGTCAGGAAAATATGTCATAGCTATGTGTGCTTCCACAAGAGATGTTGTTCCAGATGTTCAAGGTGCTGAAGGTAATTTTGTACAAGATCCTTTGGGACAATGTACTTCGTAGAAAACTTCTCAATCTCTTCTACATTCGACGACGTTATCATTTGGAGCTGGTGAAGTTTTTTAGAGCTGCTCGAGGTTGAAAATCGTCAATAGCGCGGATATTCCCTTCTTCATCACGTACCGGAGTTTGTCTTCCTGGCAGGTAGTGAAACCCAGTCTCTGCGTAGTTTGGGTATGGTCTTGGAACGTAGTCAGTCTTTGGACCACTCCACACTCTGCAGAAGTCACACAGTTCTCCGATTTCCTCACACGAACCTTTTAGATACTCAATGTAAAGCTCTCCTCTCTTAAAGTGAAGCTGGCAGAAACGTTCAAGTTTGTTATAATAACCACAACCTGGTGTGTTCGATCTTCCTGATTCCGATTTTATAGAGATGTATTTCTCCAAGTAGCTTTTGTCCAAAGAAATTGCTGTCTTTCGTTTGGGGTTACATTGCACGTTAGGAATCCGCTTGGAGCTGGCTCTCCATCCACTCTCTCTGCTAATTCTGCAGCTGCTCTCCATGCATTTTTTTTTCATCCTTTCTTCCTCCATATGCTCATACTCTTGAAGAGATAGCGCTTCAATTTCATCTGTACTCATGTTCTCAAATCTTTTATGGTACTCCCAGTCAAGTGTTTCGCCTGTGACCAGTGCGTCACCGATTGCAGCATTTGTTCGTTCTGCCTCATTTTGTCCACTGTCCCCTCTTCCTCTGTGCACCTGGACTACTTTGTCATGACCATGAATAAGAATTGCTTCTGCCATTCTATACTGAACTGCGCCATTATTGCATCCCACTCCTGGACCAGCATCAGTGAGTTCTAGCACCCGTGGCTTAGCCTTCGGTAGTTTTAGATCTGCAAATAGTTGCAAAATGCTGTCACATTCTTTGATAACGATTTGGTATTCATTCCAAAGATGCACTCCAGTGTTTGCACTTTTAGCCAGGTTGTTCATTGAAAACAAAACTGACTGGACCATCTTTTGAACCCTGCCACACAGTTGACCCTCACCAGGTGTCATCTTTGTAATATTAACAATATCAACTGCTTTTTCAAGATAATCTGACGTATGTGTTAGGCGCTTTTCTTCGTAGATTTGAAATGGACATGTATCTGGTTGCGAGTTGACGGCCATCACATCTGCCTTCATTGTTGACTCAATGAAATGTTTCACCTTATCTTTTATTCTTGTGCAGTAGCTGCAAAAAATGATAGTATAATCAGAACTGGATTCTGAAACTTGGTGCAAATCCGGTCTATTTGCTCGAAGCACATAGACTTCTGATGACCAAACTGTTCCACTGCTTCCCACATGTGCTTTTGGTCGCATAAAAACAAAACTTTCATCGTCAGTCATGACATATGCCTCCTTATTTCCGACTTTTTTGGGCTTTTTTGTAAAGATTCGATGTGTTGAAGGAGTGACATAAATTTCTTCATTTACCCAGTCGTACTTAGGAAGCTTTCTAGCCGCATCTGAATCGCTTGGTTGGTAGATTCCCGCCCTCTTGACGTCTCGTAAGCCAACTGACGTACCGGGACGAACATAGGCCTTGTCGTCCATTCCTTTTATAAAAGCATACTTTCTATCCTCTTCATTGTAGCAAAAATCTTCAATTACATTCTTTACATGTGCCCGTTGGTGATGAGTTGGCTCAGTTTCGTTGTCTTCTGTCTTAGGTGGCTTTTTGCAGCAGAACAACGATTGACCTAAATGTCTCTTAGCTTGAATACTATGTTTACGTTTTGGCTTTCCACGTGCAAGTACAGTAGACACCGCTTTGAGCGTTTTTTTCCCTTTTGTTCCTCTTCTGTAGTTTACAATTTTAAGCATGTCTTTAGCTTTTACTCGGTGATGCAAGTACATTACAGTGTCATGTCTTCTTCCGTGCACAGTTGACATATCCTCAATAGCTTTCAACAGGAACCTTTCTTCATCTTCATCAATTTCACCAGGTCTTCCTGCACCAAGTTTCCTTTGTTTAATACGACTTTCGTTAAGCAATGATTCTGCACGTCTTTTGGCAGCTCTTCTTGTTTTCTCTTTTGCAGATGTATCTTCGTTACTCAACTGACTTCCTATGTCATTAAGTTTTTCCTTAATTGATCTGACGGAGTCTTCCAGATCTTCAACTCTCTTTTCTGGCCATACATTTCGTTTCTTCTCCAGCGTGTTACTTGCTTCTACCATTTCCCGTTTTAACTTGTCTTGTTTCTCAAGAAGATGAATACGTACAAGATCCTCACCGGCAATCAATGCATTTTCACATTCTTTTGCCGCTTCAATTATTTTGTTTACACGTTGCTTTGCTGAGGATGCATCAATGCCAAGGTCGTACAGTTCTGGACGGGAATGAGACAAAGCAAGCACACTTCTTAACACGTTTTTGTCAAACTCTGTATCCATGCTTTTTAAGAGCAATTGCACAGTAGAACAATCAAGGGTATGAAGTTCCTTCTTCATATCATTTTCATATCGTTCCTCCTCAAACATGCCAGCAAACCATTCGACCAAAAACGCTTCCATTTCGGTGTTTTCCTTCAAAACTATAAAGACCTTGCCTGTGATGCCTGGTTGTGTAATTATGTAAACATTCAAGCCATAGAAAGGATCCAGGAGTTTGTCTCTAAAAGCCTGTCTGTCTGGATCGCATGCAAAAAAGGACGAATAGATATGATAGGCTTCGTCAAAAGGCAAATAACCCGAGCTGTTCATCAACACTTCCTGTACCGATCTCAAACCAAGAGCCAGACAGTTTTTCTGTGAGCTTTTGCATGCAAAAGAAAGGTTCAGTGTTATACAACTTTATTTTGCTAGAATGACATATAAAACAGTTTAATAAAT